GCTGATTGCAATTAGCGGCAGCGTGATTTCCCTGTTACACAGCGCGCAACAGATATAAAGCAGCAGAGAGACACAGCTCAGGAGGAGTCCCTTATCCGCTATCCCAGAGAGGTCGTTTTATTTGCTGTTAAGCAACTTGTGAAATGGTTACAACGATATTGCTATTAAGATTCTTTGTGAGTCTAGTTCTGTCAAACCGGGTAGGGAGATGGGTGCCGATTTATTTGGGTTTATCCCCTTCTAAATTTTTCACCTGTTTTTCTTTAGTCAGGGAGAGAGGTAGGATTAAAGTCTTTCATTTTGTTTTCTTTTGCCAGGGAAGTTATTTTGTTATAACCTTTAGTAAGACTGTTTTGTTTGTTATTTTGGCATTTGCTCTCTCCTCATGCCTTGGTTATTTAAGTTGATTAATTGCCCTGATATTTGTATATTTTCTGTATATATTCTTTTGGGTTTATTTTAAGCCCTTAATAAAAATACTTAAGTATATTTCTGGTATTTGGGTATGCTTCTGTTTTATGGTGTTAAATAGAGGGTTTTGTGTGAACCTTTATTAGAAATATCAGTGGTGAAAGTGACAAGCTGGGATAGAGGAAAAGGAGATTTCTCATAGTTTATTTATTTAATCACATCTTTTAACTTTGTTACTTCCGCTCCGTATCCCCTAGACCGAAGAGGGGAATGTAACGATATAGAAAAGAATCACCCCCCCCCCCCCTTTTAAAATAATCTTAATTTTGTTGCTTTGCAGATTTACACAGATTGTTTTATCCAGCTGTATTTACTCCGTGCATCTTATAACATCCATGTGAAAGATATAAAACCAACATGTCAGAAAAAAAAATACATAAAAAAAAAAAACCCAATCATTGAGTTGGAAAACGATCAACCCATTGTGTCAATTTTGTTGAACCATCTTTTGCTTTAATTACAGCCTTTAGTCTGTTGGGATATGTTTCTACTAACTTTGCAATATTTGTCCACTCTTCTTTACAGAACTGCTCAAGTTCAGTTAAATTTGATGGTGGCCATTTGTGGACCATAGTCTTGAAGTCATTCCACAGATTTTCAATGGGATGTAAGTCTGGGCTCTGAATAGGCCATGCAAGGACATTCACCTTTTTCTCCTTTAACCACTGTGTGCTTTGCTTTGGGTCATTGTCATGCTGGAAGGTAACCCTTCTTCCCATTGACAACTTTCTGACAGAGGGCAGCAGATTTTCCTCAAGAATTTGAAGGTATTTTGCCCCATCCATTTGCTCCATGTGGCATCAGAATCTTCAAGGTGCATTTTGGCAAAGCTCAGTGTTGACTGCATGTGGCCTTTCTTGAGGAGTGGCTTTTTTCTTGCAACCCTCCCATATAAGCCACATTTGTGGAGAATTTGTGATATTGTTGTCATATGCACACAATGGCCACTCTTTGTCATAAATTCCTGCAACTGTTTCGTCCTGGCTCTTTCATCCAGTTTGGAGCAACGTCTTGATCCAGGGAGGGTCTGTGTTGTACCAAATACCTTCCAATTCTTAATAATAGTCCACAACTTTATCCCGGAGATCTTTTGACAGTGCCTTGCCACCCATAATTGATTGTAGGGCTGCATAATTAATCAAATTTCTAATCGCGATTACAATTATGGATGCCACAATTACGTAATTGTTCAAATTGGAAATCAATCGATCAAAGTCCACTTATGTTATTCTGCGTGCTTAATATGCGGTTTTTCTTTCTGTGTTATCTTAAGAGTTTTTCCCATTTAATTTTTGTTTTAGTATAACATTATAATACCATTCATATTTTTACTTTTTTATAAATTAAAGAAGAAACCCATCCGATGTATAGTTGACATTTGAGGCTTAATACTATAGAAAAGCACAAAGTTTTTCAGTTAGTGTTTTCAGCTTGTTTATTTTCACATAAAAATACGGCATGCAGTTGCACCAAACAATGGTATAAACATCATTCAATGTAAATTGTGATAATAATCGCAATTTCAAGGGAATAATCAACAATTATGATTTTTGTCATAATCGTGCAGCCCTAGTTGATTGTTTGCTTCAGTTGCACTACCAAGGACTGAAATGCTCCAGGAAAGCTCTTTTCATGCTGAGCTAATCAAAATGACTACAGCTGAAAGTCAAATGGCTTTGTACGCATTTATAAGGTGATTAGCTGCACCTGATTGAGTTTACAAGTCATGTTTAGGAGGGGGGGGTGATGATTATTCCAACTCAGTGATTGTTTATTTTTTCTGACATGTTGGAGTTATATCTTGGATGTTATAGGTTGCACTGAGTAAATACAGCTGGCTAAAACAAAAACTGTGTCCGTCTTTATTTCAGTCTGCAAAGCAACAAAATTAGATTATTTTAAAGGGGGGTGATTCTTTTCTATACCCATTGTACAGGATGTTTGCACGGATGTTATTAACAATCAAAGTTCATAAGCAAATAATTTCTCCAAGCAGATCAGAAGTAGATCCTTCAAGGAAAAGGTTCGGAAGCTGGAATAAAAACCAGGCTGGAAGAACCTAAAAAGCTATTTAGAGAAATAACTCCGTGTTTATCAGATGGCCAGATGTGACCTCAGTGAAGAGAAGGCTCCTGTCTGGTTCAAACAGTCACCATTAGTCTCACTGGCCACATGTATATTTCATACAGACGTCTATCATTCTTCTGATCTTTGAGCAGAAGTGGCTAAGGTTTCCTTTTCAGCCTTGGCTGTGGAAACATTGATTTCCACACACATGGTGCTACTTCAGAGTCCCTTGATGCACAGCGGTGACATAAGCTACCATACACATGTGCAGGCTTCCCTTTCCATTAAATATACATCCTCTGCAACTTATTCATTTCTCCAACTGTGATACTAGAAAAATAACAAACCTCAGAAGGGCAGCACATCTCAGCATGGATTATATTTCAGCACAAATAAAGCTTGCTTTGTTTCACTGCAAACGCAACAAACAGGGTCTGAAGGATCTGCAGCATCTGTTGTCTTAGGTGTTATATAACTGGAAGTGAAATGCACCTCATGCTCATTTTTAAAGTTACTCGATAGCTCTGGCATTAATAGAAAGCCCCCTTTAATCCATTTTAGAGACGTCAGGCTGTGGGGTAAGACAGCAGCTTCCAAAGTGTGAAGTGAAGTCCCTGTGGGAGGCTATTTTCAAATCTCATTCACTTCCTCAAATTCCAATTTGCCATATTGTTGATACATGTGAGAACCAATGAACTCTTTCTCCTCCACTATATTCTGCTCATATGGTGTGCTCATATGCATTTCATTTACATAAGCATGTACCACGGTGTTAGATTTGATTTGAAATTTCAGTCTGTTTGTCACACAAAGCTATTTTATGCCTTCAGAAGACTAGAAATATAGCACACGAGTCACGAGAAACACTTTAATGGTGCTGTTATATACTTAGAGCTTGAATGTCACATTCACTATCATTTCATCCTTTATCTCCTTTTGTGTTCAGAAAATCATATGGCTGAATGATACATTTTAAAATATTATGCACATATCATATGCAAAACAATACTGTCTTTATACGTTTATTTATTTATGGATATTTTAAGCGTCAATTACCATAATTAAATGCTATTAAATGTTATGAAAAATGATCAAAATGTTTTAATATTGTATTCTGTGGAAACAATGTAGGCCTAGTGATAAAAATATGTTTTGATGATTTTTATTATTCAACAAAACTGCGAAAACAGAAAGAACAGACACAGAATTATATGACATTTTTTTCCAAATTTTTCCAGCAAAAACATTGGTTACACTTTACAATAAGATTCATTATTTAAAGGCGTCCTATTATGCTTTTTCACTTTTTCTTCAACTTTAGTTAGTCTGTAATGTTGCTGTTTGAGCATGAAAAAGATCTGCAAAGATACAAAGCTCAAAGTCCACTTCAAAAGGAGATATTTTATTTAACAGAAATCACTTTTCAAAAACTACGACGAACGACTCGTTTGGACTACAATGCATATTTTCCGGGCTTTGTGATATCACAAATATTGACGAATGGGACAAGACCTGGTTGAGCTGCACTAGAGAAGGCAACGAGTGTTATCACTGTGTCGGAGACACGCTAGCTTTTCCAAGGCAGACGAACTTAGAGGGGTTACAATCATCCGGGTTTAAATCGCACTCAAATTGATTTGATTTTGACGCAATATTTACACTGAAGCTCACAGGTGGCTATGGTAAGGGGCGTGACATTTCCCGACCAGGCGCCGAGTGCTGCCAATCACAACACACACTGGCCCAGCTAACCAATCACAGCACATTTGGTTTTTATGAAGGCGAGCCTTCATTTGATTCAGGAACTATTCGAGTCATTCATGCCAGACTGGGGAGAGAGGTGTTGTAATAATGTAAAATATGTGAAAAATAATGTGTTTTTCGAACAACCTAGTATAAGAGCCTGTTCTAGTACACCAAAATCAAGACTTTGTAAAAGAGCATAATAGGACCCCTTTAACATTAGTCAACTCACATTAACTAATAAAGAGCAATACATTTGTTACAGTATTTATTCATTTTTGTTAAATAAAATAACAATACAACTGTTCATTGTTAGTTCATGTCTGGTTTGTTAAATAATAATAACAGACACAACTTTTGATTTTAAAAATGTATTAGTCAATGTTGAAATTAACATTAAGATTTATGAATGCTTTAGAAGACGTTTTCACGGGTAGTTTATGTTAATTAATGTAGTTAACTAATGTTAACAAATGGAACCCTATCACCGAAACGTTTAATGTAGCATTGTCCCTAAAACTGTTGTCTGCTTAATGATAAGTTGCTTGTTTTTCAACATTTGTAAGTCACTTTCGTCAGAATAAATAAAAGTAATTTTTTTTTTTCATTATTCAATCTTAAGTGTTAAAACATTTGGCCAAATTTCTGATCAAATTATGGAGGGAGTCGCAAACCACTGGGGTAAGAGAAAGCATAAACGTAATATTGATGTTAGCTACCTGATTACCACCTTGACCATGGCAGCCGAACAGGGAAAGGTGAGCTCCTGTGGGGTTGTGGTCCGGGGCGTTATAGTCCAGACATTCAGAGTGAACTCCAGCACTACGCACCTACACCAGGAACCAGAACATATGTAAAACCAGTGGGGGAAAAAATTGAGAGAATGACATTAAAAGTATTTCGGAGGAAATTAGATTAGATTAAATTAGTCACTTACCGCTCCGTGCCAACCAGGCCTGTCCTCTGGCACATGCAGACCGGGGTAGATGTTCTGCAGGTACCATTCAAAACTCTTACACTGAAGCCGCTTTCGCAGCACAATCCTTTCAGATATATCCCCATACGATTCCTACAGGAGCAAAGAAATATCAGGCCTCAAGGCAAAGTTGACATTATTTAGTGGAAGTGTGGAACGAATTGTCATAGCACTCTAATTGTCTTGAATGTTATTAAAGCTAATGTGTGTTTGTTTGTTCTATTTTGCATGACAAGATTGACAACTTTGTTGACATTAACTTTGTTATACCTAATGCCGAGTTCACACTGCATGATTTCCAAAGACGTCGCATCACTGTTAGTTTCACACTGAACGACTATCTGGGGTAGCATTCAGTTGTTGCTGTGTTCACACTGCACGATGGAACGACGACAGGAGGTTACACACTGCATGACTTTACAATAGGAAGAATCTCCGACAGCTCTGTCTGGTGCAGGGTTGCTAGGTTTTCGCTACTCAAAACCCGTTCGGGGGATAAAATACAAATTTTTTGGCGGGGTTCTCCTGGTACAATTCACATTCCAGGACGTAAATATCACGTTATTGGAGTCGCTTCAACCTGCTGACATAAAAAACAACCGGCGGCAATCGTGGATTTGGCAACACTGGTTTGCCTCCAATTTCGGGCATCTGTCTGCGATTTCGCAAAACCTGTCGGCGAGTGAAAAATCAGGCTAAAATCGTGCAGTGTGAACTCGGCATTAGTTGAAACTTCTTGGACGGCATTTCTACCAAACAGAATGCCACGTACATACTTCCTGTAATGTTGACATAAGGACTGCCATGACACACTTCCAACAATCCAAGTGTCAAAGAAACTCCACCAGGTAAATAAGATAATATTAATTTAGGCTTTTAAAGGGTGTGGTTGCATTCAGACCTGATGTACATGAACAACTCACTGCAGCCAAACAGAGAGGTCAAATATTCTTATGCCTGTGGCATCTGGTGTCGTGGCTACTAGAGAGTGATTTATTATTTGATCACAGCTCCGCGTCATTAATAATGTAAATTCTCTACGAAGTAATATGGAGTTACATGCCAGATTCTTGTCAGCCAGGGTGATATAATATATGTTTGGCCTAGTTTTATTATCTTTGTCAGCTAATAAGCTTTTCAAAGACAGCCAAAGGAAGAACAAACACTGTAAACCGATAGAGCAGGAAGCATTCAAGCAAAACCTGAGCGTCATTCAGGAGTGCGTTAACAATTTTAAGAACAGCACTTTTCTCGATAAACGCTGAGGCAGTTAAATGAGGAAATAGCACAACAGCTGTACACCTAAGATTATGCAACGGCACAGGATATTAAAGAGGTGCCGCCCAATAACAGGTCACAGTCGATGGAGGTGTACCTTGCATGCTGGAGGGTTTCGGTTGTAGAAGTGCTGCTTGTAAGAGTCCATCCAAACCTCTGCAGCACGGACAGTGTTCTGAAGGAAGTTGGATCGGGAGTACGGCGCTTTCTTGGGGAACACGTGACCCACGTGGGAGCATGGGTGAATTTCTAAAGACCCTCCACACTGCCACACCTGCAAGTAACAAAATATAGTTTAAAAAAAATTAACAAAATGTTTCAAATGAAGCAACAATCATGCAATAAAATTTCATATAGCCAATCAAATCCTAAAAGAGATCAAAGTGAATTTCTGATTTAAAAGAAGACTAAGACATTGTAGGTCTTTTCTATTTTAACACAAAAGAAATATACTGAACAAATATTTGTAATAAATGGTGCTAAATTTTTATTACATAAAACATATTATATTATTCATAATTATAATAACAGTGACGTATATAATTTCTTTACCACTGGTGTCACAACAATAATAAATAAACATTAAAAATAATAAATATTTTATTTATAAATAATTGATTAGTAATTGCAAATAATTCATGGGAAAAATAAATGTTATTTTCAAACAGGCTGCGTCGGGCTATCAACCTACAATCAACCTAAAGTTTGATTGACTTATTTATATTTCTGCATATTAAAATAGGACACAAGAAAGTATTTTAACACTGAAAAAAATGACACGCATTAGTTTTAAAATGAAAGCTAATAACAGCATTTTTCTAGAGCATCATCATGTATTTAATGAGATTCAACTCATCTTTTTGAACAAACTCTTTTCAGTGTACAAAGTTAGATCGTCTGAATTTATTGGAATGTTCAGAAATTAAACATGATGTAACAGCACTTTAGATCTGCTAAGACACCAAAACAATAATCCTTTTTTATCCATTTTCCAGCTTTATTTCCCACATGCTTTTGTATACCAATTCACAGCACATCATTTATACATGAACATCATACGGCCCTGGAAGATACAGCATTGTATTCCGTTCCCATACGCATACAAGACTACTCCATGGTATAAACTATCAATCTTCATTTTTAGGTATAGGCTAAAAAAGAAATCCAATATGAGAGATGTGTCTAATTATAAACAGTGGCTCTCAGTTTCTCATGCTACCAAGAGCCCGTCGACACGCTCCGATGGTAAGCCTATGCAAATTATCAGTACAAAAGGTAACGTGAAAACAGAATACAGGAGTCTTACCCGGAAAGAAAGTTCCAGATTCTCTCCTCCCCAGACCTCCATGCCCATGTCATAAGTGCCCAGATACTCAAAGTAGGCCTTGCTGACGGCAAATAGGCCCCCTGCCATTGTGGGAGACCTGTGAAACGAAAAGCGGCAGAGCATTGGCAATTCATCGGAGATATTCCCTAGCACCAATTTTCTAGCAGGCAAGTGCTTCTTAGTTTTCATTGAGCGCCTCTAGGGCTGCCCTCGGATGAGCCTGGAGAGAAATCTAGTGCAGAACTGGACAGTATTTGAAAGTACCCCTAGGTCTGAGCATTAAAATATAGTCTATTCACTGCACTGCAACTGAATTCAATCAACACAATATCACTGCAATTCTATTGCAGTCCATTTCCTTGTGAAAATAACTTTAAAAAGTTTTTCCTGGAAGGAAAAGACACCCAAATGTATTAAAGGAACAGTTATCTTATGTCATTCCAAAACCTTATGAATTTTATTTAGGAATGCTCCAAAATTAAAATTTTGGATAATTATTTATATAATTATTTTATGATCAAGTTATGGCTGACAACCGATAAATCACCAGTATTAAATTACTATTTTGTCTAAATTAAAAATAAAAAAAATGTAAAATAATAAAATCAGTGAATTTAGATTTCACAACATTAGAATGTACAGTAAGAAGAATGGATATTCATTTCAAGATTTGCCAAAGGTAAATATTAACTTTAAGTGAGCACTGGATGACAGCAAAAATAATCTAATTGCAAAAATAGAAGAAATAAGAATGAACAAATAAATATTCAATACCATTCGATATAAATATCCAATATGGAGTGCTACATTAGAAAAAAAATGTATATATATATTAGCGCTGTCAAATGATTAATCGCATGCAAAATAAAAGTTTTTCTTTACATAATATATGGGTGTGTACTGTGTATATTTATTATGTATATATAAATACACACACATGCACGTACATATTTAAGACGAATAGGTTATGTTTATATATTAAATATATTTATATATAAAATAAATTATATAAATATAAATATATGCATGTAAATATTTTCAAAATATATACGTGCATGTGTGTGTATTTATATATAAATATACACAGTACACACACATATGATATGTAAACAAAATTTTTTATTTTGGATGCGATTAATTGTTTGACAGCACTAATATATATTGATATAAATAATAATAATAGTGTAAAATACAGTCATTTTGTCCGATTTCTCCTTTTTTGTTCCACAGAATAACAGAATTGAAACAACATACTGGTGAGTATGACTATCCCTTTAAACATTTCTAATCTGTTTCTTAAATTGTCAAGAAAACCACACTGGATTTGGACAAGTTGACTAGAAACCAACCTAATGGGGTCAATTCTGGATTTGCGTATCTTGCGATCCATTTCAGGCACGGCATGCCACTGGAATGTCAGCCTCCAGTCAAAGCCGCCCACCATCGGCTCAGCTGTCTGCATGTAGAACTCAAATGTGTTCCAGTCAATGGTGTCAATCACTGGACATATGATGGTGCTCTCATTATCAGCAATTCTGAGGGAAAAGACAATAAAAAAAAAGAGCATTACACTTTACAAACTTGTTGCTGTGGATTATGGGAGTGTTTCTATGTTAGAATTGAATTTAGTAAAAAAATAATAATAATTTTTAAAGTCACACCTTTCCAGCAGTGGCTCAATCCAGCCAGGCACACACTCACAGTGGCAGTCAAGGAAAGTGAGCACGTGTCCTGTAGCGTAGGTGGCGCCAATGAGCCGGGCCCGTACCAGACCTTCTCTTTTTTTGGTGCGAATGAGGCGAACACGCTCCAGGTTACTGACATACTGAGCCAGCTGTGACTTCAGATAGCCTGTAACTCATGCAAAAGAAAAAGTGAAACTTTTTATCAGGATCCAACAGATAATGGCAAAGCACAGGAAAACAACTGATTTACTAGAGATGTCCAGATTGAGTTTTTATTTCAACAAATGTAAGAACCGATATGGAATAATATCTATAGCTAACTTACTGTCCAGAGCTTTGCCGAGAAAGTATAAAATATGCAAACACGGGCAAATGTGTGAGCATTTTTCAACGCAAATACTGACAAGTTTGTATTTGGTTGTATTTAAATGAAATAAATATTTACAAATCAGCTTCACAGGCTATTACATTAAAGATAGAGATTCAACATTTAACAAACAATATAATAGATAAGTTTTTTTTAAATAAAATTCAAAAGGAAAAGAAACACTCAGAAACACTTTTACATATAAAAATCTATAAAAAAATCTTTAAACGTAGTTGTGATAAAAATTGTAAACGTTTTTCTGGGTCCATCGTACAAAATTAGTCATTTAAGTTGGTTAATCTTTTAAAAGTAAATCAACATTATATAAAAAGTAATATTAAATGTAATATGGTTTTGTTATTCATCTGTATTCATTCATCAGTGTAGCACCTAATAGACTCAATATCTTCCGTTGCTTCCAAAAAAATTATTTGCATGTTAATTGGTTGTGGCAAAGCTGACCAATCAGGATAAGACAAATCCTCTAGGATGGAAAAGGCTTTAAATTAGTCTGGTGGAATTATACATTTCTGTGAAAACTGCCTAGAAAGCGTCCCCTCACCTCTGTCGCTAAAGTCATCCACAAGTATGACCTCTTTCAGTAGGACGGCTGGTGTCATCTCCAGCACACTATGGATGGTTCTGAGTAAAGTGGACCAGGCCTCATTATAAAATGCTATTACCACTGATGTTGTAGGCAGACGACGGATGTTGTACTTCTTAGCTTTGCATCTAGCATTAAAAAAAGAGAACTAATCAGACGGTTAAGCAAATTGGCATATATTCAAAACATGTGGTTTAGACAAACAGCTTCCTGAGTTACACACTACACATAATAGCATGCAAATGAGAATATCTAAAACATAGAGGAACCTGACAACGCTGTGAAACTGACACCATATGCTCATCCTGCAGTATTCTGAATGACTGCTTATAATGTTTCACATGACAATTATGAATTATTATGGAATGAAAAAGGAATCAAAAAAGATGCATAGTCTATTAATAAATGTCATATTCAATTCATAAAACAAGACCGTTTTGTCCTCTGTTCTTTGATCTTCATTCCTCAAATCCAAAATCTGTAAATGACTATTTCTGGTTCATAGACAGATTCTCTGTAAACAAACAGTGTTGAATGAGAGGTGGGAGATGAACAGACATGCCAGAGATGTTTTTACAGCATTACGAGAAACTGTTTTAGACCCTTTAAGACAGAGATGGAAGGACAGTGAACTATACTTTGAAATTGCAGGTACTCATCATTTAATGTACACTACCATTCAAAATTGAAAGACATTAATACTTTTATTCAGCCAGGATGCATTGAATTGATCAAACGTGACAGTTAAAACATTTATGTTACAAAAGCTCAAAAGATGACTATTTCAAACAAATGCTGTTCTTTTGAACTTTCTATTCACCAAAGAAAAGAAAATTACATTTTCACAGTTTCCACAAAAATGTTATAAATGTTTCTTGAGCACCAAACCAGAATATCAGAATGATTTCTGAATGATCATGTGACACGGACTAGAATAATAGCTGTTGAAATTCATCTTACAATAAAACATTATTCTTCAAATAAATGATAAAATACATTTAAGAAGGTTTTAAAACAGAAAAGTTATTTTTAAATTGTAATATTTCACAAAATTACTGTTTTTACAGTATTTTTCATCAAATAAATGCAGCCTTAAGAGTATGTGACTTGTGATTTATACTACAATGAAGCTATTTTACCAACATACAACCAATACAATTAGAAAAAATTTATATAACTGATTAAAAAAAAACTGGGGTGTTGATGGCGAAGATGGCGTTAAAAATTGATTCAGCAAGGATTCTGAATAAAGTCAGAGTCATTATGTTCCTCACCACAAATATTTAGAGACTCTACATTCACTGACAGCAACTATATTTGAGCAAATGTTCAATAATTATCCCTACAAAGAGAGAAGAAAACAATCCACAGCATAACATTTCTGGCAGTAATGCTTAAGTCTTTGACAAGAACTAGCTTGCCTGAAAGTTATTTCAGAAAGCAAGCAAAAGAACTTCACATCAACAGATAAAATCCCTACCGATGCCAAGGAATTGTGCTACTGCTGTGTGTGATCTCCAGAAGAGCCTGTGATGTGGCAACCGGAGCGCAGTTGAAGCGCAGGGGGAAACGCATCCAATTTGTTTCACTTCTCGTCTTACTAGGGGACACTTTCTCTTTTCAGAGCAGCAGCTTGAACCCTACTCATTTTTGTGTGACAAAAGCCATGAAACAATTATTCTCATACAAAAGCACTGCTGTTCTGAGAAACCCTCCCAGCTCTGTTTTCTATTGTTGTTGGTTTTTCAATCATGTTGTCTGGCTGCAGGCAATGGGTTCATTTCAGACAACAGACAACATCTGTAAACAGGTGAGGTGGACTGAAGTGTAGAAATCCCCTAAAGGAATCACTATTCAGAACATCATTTTAATTCTTCACAAAGTGAAAAAGCACCTTTCTTGCTTATTTTTCATGTTTATTGTAATGCAGTATAACAGCATTTATTTTTCTCTGTAAACATCATTGCAATAGCAAGAACAGAGAATTTTCTCGAGAAAATTGTTCTTGGTTGCCCAGACTTTGCTATACAGACACATGTTGTTGCGCGGTTGCTAGGGTGTTCTGGGTGGTTGCTAAGGTGTTGCTAGGTGGTTGTCAGGGCTTTTCTATAGTTAATAAGGTGTTCACAGTGTTTTCTTAGTGAATTGCTACACATTTGTGTTCTATGACTGCCAAGATGTTGCTAAGTGGTTGCTAGGGTGTTCTGGGTGGTTGCTAAAGAGTTGCTAGGTGGTTGTCAGGGCTTTTCTATATAGTTACTAAGGTGTTCACAGTGTTTTCTTAGTGAATTGCTACACATTTGTGTTCTATGACTGCCAAGATGTTGCTAAGTGGTTGCTAGGGTGTTCTGGGTGGTTGCTAAAGCATTGCTTGGTAGTTGTCAGGGCTTTTCTAATTACTAAGGTGTTCAGAATGTTTTTAGCATGTTGCTATGTAGTTTCTGGGATGTTCTGAATGGTTGCTAAACCATTGCTAGGTGGTTGCCAGGGATGCAATACAGTTACAGTTACATGCTGCTGTGTGGTTGGTAAGGTGTTCTGGGTGGTTACTATGTGCTTTGCTATAGTTATTGAGGTGTTCTGAATTGTTAGAATGTTGCTATGCAGTTGCTAAGGCATTGCTAGGTGGTTGCCAGGGTTTTAATATACAGTTACTAAGAAGCATGTTGCTGTATGTTTAGTAGGGTGTACAGGATGGTTGCTATGGCTTTGCTAGATGGTTGCCAGGGCTTTGTTATACAGCTACAGTTACATGTTGCTGTGTAGTTGCTAGGTTGTTCTGTGCCATTGTTATGGCATTTCTAGGTGCTTTACTATAGTTAATAAGGAGTTATGAGTGTTGTTAGAATGTTGCTAAGCAGTTTCTAGGGTCATGATGGGGAGGAGCAGGGAACGGGGGACTCCTGCTGGCTGCCCAAACGCGGAGGAGCCGTCGCCGTCCACTGGGCGGTGGAGGAGTGTCCTGCCGTCCACCGAGGGCTGTCCAGTGCCACCGCCTAGCATCGCAGAAGAGCTCACCCAGCTGGTGGAGGGCCGAGCGGCAGTGTGTCTGGGAACCGGAACAAGATTTTTTTTTTTCTCCCCTCTCTCATCTGTGTCTCTCCTCATCCTTCTGTCTCCTTTTCTCTCACCTTGTCTGTCTGACTTTACCCCCAGGTACGCCGCGTCCGCCGTGATCGGGGGGGGTAGAGCGCAGTCTCGGGAGTACCCCCCGGCCTGCGAGGGGCGATGGGGGTATGTGACGAGAGGGGCGGGGCCGGTGGCGTAATTGCTAATGCGCGACACCTGCACCACTCACCAGTCTGGAGTCTCACGGAGGAGCTCCGGAAGGATACAAAGAAGGAGTGACGACAGTGAAAGACGAGAGAGGACCAGGCCTGGAGTTTATTTTGCGTTTTGGTTTCGTTTGTGCGCGACAGTCGTCTGCGAGGGGCTGTCGCGCTATTTTGTGTTTATTTTATTATTAAAGTTCCTTTGAATGTCCGCCGGTTCCCGCCTCCTTCTTCCCGACCTACAAACGTGTTACAGTTACTAAGAGGCATGTTGCTGTGCGATTGCTAGGATGTTCAGAATGGTTGCTATGGCTTTGCTAGGTGGTTGCCAGGACTTTGCTATCGAGTTACTAAGGTGCATTTTGCTGTGTGGTTGCTAGAGTATTCTGGCTGGTTGCTAGGTGGTTGCCAGGGCTTTGCTATACAGTTACTAAGGTGCTCAAAGTGTTTTTCACAAGTGTTTTGTTTCTCTGTGTTTGCTAGGGTGTTCTCTGGTTGCTAAATAGTTGTCAGGACACTTGCTTTACAGTTACTACAGTGAATTTAGCATCTTACTATGTGGTTTCTAAGGTGTTGCTAGGTGGTAGGGTGTGTAATGAGCCCATCAATGTGAGGTAAGGTGTGACAGACATACTCATGCATCCTGTTGTCTTGAATATGGCGATGGAGAGATATCTTGTCACTGATGAAAATATTAATGGCATAGCGCTCAATGCTGGCCTCCTCCTCTTTCTTCTCCTCGGGGCTGAGGGTCAATCGAGTGGCTCGGCCATATTCTCCAGGAGCACGGGGGTCTGGCGTTTGCTTCTCATAAACGGGCCGCAGGAGGCTGTCAGAGTCCTCCGCCTTAATGGACGGAAGGTCACGGACCAGGATGTCATGTTGACCATCTTTATCAGGAAGAGATTGAGGGGACGAACGAACTAGAAGAAGGTAGAAGAGCCACAGCAGAGAAAAGAGGAAGCAGACCTTGGCCAGTAAAGCCACCTTCCTCGACCAGCGAATCTTCATGACCTGGCAGCCAGCACCAACAACAGCACCAGTCAAAGAGCCTCAGACTCCCAACTTACTGAAGGATGAGAGAGGAAGAGAAGTGCAGATTAGTGACAGACTGATACATAGGCCAGACTGATCTATTGACATCCTTGTCAATGAATATTTCACTGTTTCTGTTTATGAAAATAAGCAGAAAATGAGTAAATTGACATGTTTAACTGAAAAATAATGCCATGTCAGATTATGCAATGGGCTTCTTCCTTGTAGGACCACCTGGGTCACTGATGCTTATTTATTGGCTTTTATTAATAGAAGGAAATTCTTGAAAGGAAAGCATAATCCGTTATTAATATTTATTGAGAAAAAGAGTGTTTCTGTTAAAATATTATTATAATTTTTTTTCTGCCAAATTAGTCCTGCAGTTTACCTTTCTTATTCTTGGACACAAATTTTATTTTTTATTTTTTTTGAAAGAAATTACTTTCATTCAGCAAGGATGCATTAAATTAATCAAAAGTAATAGTTAAGCCATTTACAATGTTACAAAAGATTTTTGTTTCAAATAAATACTGTTCTGCTGAACTTTCTATTCATCAATGTATTAGGGTTGGGCGATGTCTAAAAAATTGGCATCGAATGATGTCTACAGTGAAACATTGCGATGGACGATGACATCGGGGGGGGGGGGGGTGGGGGTGGAGTTAGGGGGTGTGCCGGAGGGGGAA